AAATGTGTCCGTTATGCTGAATGGCATTTCGGAAGTGTCTTTGTGGTCAGAGTAAGGCTGCATTGTGGCGGAGGTGTCGAAGGAAGGGGTTCGAGATTCCTGGAGTGAGTGGGCGTGCAGCTTCCGGTTGGTGGCTCTGGTACCCCGGTGGTGGGAAGTATGAGCTAGCGAATCTATAGCTGTGTCGCGGCATTGTGAGAGTCGAGACTATCGCATTGTCAATGCGCACGACATGCAATCTGCGATGACTGTGCACTGTGAGTATGGACGGGAAATGTGCGCGGATGTGTTCGCGATATGGCTGCTGTTATCTCATCCAATGAATTGATCGTACACGTCATCGAAACAAAATCTACTTACACCTCTCAAGCAGTGGTCACCATCCCCACAACGTCTTGATTGTGTCGCCAATTGTTGCTTGGCCAGCTTCCTTCCTCTTCATACGAGCTACCCGCTCTTCGATAAATGTCTGTTCCAGCTGCTTTGCCACACCAGTTTGCGCCCTAATCTCACCAACTATAGCCATCCTCTCGATCTCGCGCTCTTCGGGTGACAGGCTCTCTAGCTTCTTTTGGTACTCTTCCCGTACTTCCGGCTTGATCTGCTTCCACACATCGGTATCGTCCATGCTGCTACTCGATTTGCCAATCTCAGCTATCGGCACAGCTGATTTCCCTGACGATGATACGCCGCTCATGGCTTCCGCGACATTCCGTTTCGACAATATGCTTTCGAATTTGGGCACTGACCGTCCCTCTACCTTGGCCTTCTCCATTTCCTCCTCCTGTTGTATCATGCGCTGGTAGAGTTTATCTGCGTGCATTTGTATCCGCTCGTCTTCTTCTGGTGACCTCTCGTCCATGGTCATGTAGCCCAACGCCTTCAAGAACTTTGACTGTATGTCGTAGCAGCGGTTGAACTTGCGCGACTCGCCGATGCACATGGTTCCTGCCGACCACCATGATTTGGGATTTTGGAAACACTCAAATTGGTTCATGTATTCTAGCGCACAGTTCTCCATGGCGACTCGTCCGATTGAGGCTTTGCGATCATTGTAGGCGTCTACGAGGTCTCGTAACTTGTCTTGTTCCGACTTTCCGCGGTTGTTGACGACGTCCTGTGGGGTGTAGGTCTTCCAGAGGTCGGCGTATCGGCCATCTTGGAATTGCGATTGCGGTGGCACATATGGCTTCTCGGGATCGGTCTGTGTTTGCGCTTGCGCTTGTGTGGGTGTTGGCGATTCGGCGGGCTTTTCTTTGGGAGCGGAGGGTAATGAAGGTTTCGGGCCAGTGGGCGCCTCTTTTTTGAGGAAGTCGCGGAGAGATGGATCGAGTTGGTCTTGCCCGCCTGAGCTATTCCCGCTTCCCCAGAGCCAGCCCATAGTTGCGTCGGCGTATAGATTCGTATTCGCGAGGTGAGCAGGTGAAAGTTCCCAAGTTGCGGGGACAGTGAACATGGGTCGGGGGTCCGAGCACCCGAGCATGTCTTAGCGCGTTGGCCTCAGATGCGCCCGGGCATAACAACGACTCGATTACGCGACGGCGACGACATCAACTCGAGGAATTGTTACGACACACATTGTTATGGCGCCAGTCGGTATGTTCGTTCTGTTCAAGGATTCATAATCCGAATTTCATACTCACACGTCTCTAGATCGCCGCGAACATCGACAACAGCGCGTGCGCGGTGCTGGGTAAGACACTCGAGAACTCCTGAGACATGCAAACGCTGACTACGACAGGCCTTCATCTGTGCAGGCGTCTTTCGGCTTCAACTTCGGCGCTCTCAGTTCGCAACCGACCAAACAACCCTCTCTCCCACCCCAGCAATCACCGCGACGAACACCAGCCCAGAAGACACCCAGGAGCGCGAATGGCTCGGCACAACGGCAGAGAAGCGCGTCGATTCAGCGCAGCACTGCATCAAAGCCGAAAGCTACACCAAAAGAAAACACAGTGACCCCTCAGTTGGGCAAGAGGAAGCGGGGTTCACCAAATGCGCAACCAGGCGCAGACGACGCGGCAGAGGATGAGCTAAGCCCTGACCGTGAGGACGCTGTGCGCTCCATCGAACAAAGCAGGAGGGTCGTTGGGACGGTTCTACCCATACGCGAAGAACAAGACAGCGTACCAGACGAGCTATCCATATTGGAAGAGCGCGCCAGTACTGCACGCGAGACGGTCTTCGCCAAGTCTACCGTCATCAAACGAACGCCTCCACAAGCATCGTCACAAACACGCGCAACCCCTGTCAGTGCCCGACAAAAGACGCCTGCCACCGAGGGTGTTGAGCAAGCGTCAGCTGTATCGCGGCGGTCGACACTACGGCGATCGCGTTCTACGGATCCTGGTCCGGCTACACCCAGCGTACTTCCAAACGGGCAACCCAGAACTTCTTCCGCTTCACAACTCGGCGCTATTCTCGAGACACCAGCCGCAGCTTCAGTGGACGAAGAGAGCGAAGATGAGCTATCGCCGCAGCTCAATGGATCTACACCGCGGGTGGTTGGGAGCGAACCACGGCCGCAGCAAACCGCAGAAGAAGATGTTGAAATGGACGCAGACGAGCTCTCCTCACTCGGCCAACCGACACCAATCCAGCAAACGCCGGTAGCGAATGGTGCGACACCACAACAATTGAGAAAGCAACAGTCTGAAGAGCAAGCCACTCCGCCGCAGCCAGCCAAACGAGGAAGATCGCGCCGGGTAGTGGAGGAACCCAAGGAGGTTGAGGTCCCCGCAACCACGGCGACGAAGCCTGCCAAGCGCGGCAGACCCAGAAAAGAAGTCGCAGTCCAGGAACGCGAACCTCAAGCAGCGCCAGCTGTACGCGAGCCAGAAGTTACAAACAGCGAGGAGCCAACACTGGAAGAAGTGGACGAGGTTCCTGACGATGTCTCCCCTGACCATGAACAAGCATCTATACACTCCCCCAAACCTACATCACGGAATCAGGACGCTGTCGAAATTTCCAGTGCGGATGAAGAGTCGGACGTGTACGAAGAGCCGGAGCCCGAAGAGGCAGAACTCACTCCACGACCCAGAACGAGAAAGCTGTCTCCCAAGCAGACACAACGCGCAAAACCTACGTCAGAGAAACCGCCTCGGAAGCGTCAAAAGTTCTTGGGACCTAAGCATACCATCTCTGTCATGCGCATCAAGGGCTCTGCAGTTCGAGGCATCACAGTCGCAGACACCACGCGTACCATCTTAGAAGAAACCATTGACCACCGCTTGAGCCGTATGGCCGAAAAGCTGCAAGCCTCACAAGACTCCACCCGTCGCAAAGAATATCGAAGTGAGATCAATCTCTCGCTCTCTTTCAAGGAGAGCCTCAACGAGAAGTTGCTCGACTTGCAGGACGCAAATGATCTCTTGAGCACCAACTTCAAGAAGATCAAGTTGTTCAAACGCGACAATGCTGAGCTACGTAGGGAAATTCTCAGTCTCCAGGACAGCAGACAAGAGATTGCTATCGAAACGGACGATGTTCAAGCACGATACAACGCCGAGAAGGCCGAGGTAGATGCCAGAAATACCCTCAGTGATGACATGTTCGAGATTGAGGCTGCAATAAAGAACGGTCGGAAAAAGGCACGCAAAGAAGGGAGGGAAGAGGAGGGCCCCAATATCCCCCTTCCTATGCTGCTCCAAATGGTCGGCAATGACGTCACTTCTCGAAGTGGCGGCCTTCTGGCCAATGTAAAGGGCTTTAACGGGCTCTTGGAAAGAGCTGCAGGCTTTCTAGAGGGAAGAGCCTGATTACACAGCGAATGGGCGGATGAAGTTTCTTGTGTGTACTTTCGGAAAGATACCCGGCATTATCGCCACCTTCGATATGATATTTACCATTCTCATATTCTGCACCCTTTCAATCTCCTAATGTCTGCGGACGCACAACATCATCTGAAAAGTTGATCATGATGTCTCATATACGATCGGATGTTATTTGGCAAGAACACCTGGGGTAGTCGCGTGTCGTCTAACATCGGTCAAGCGACTAGTCTGCATATGCCAAGACGCGCCCGCTTTCATGCACGGTTACGCAAAGGTGCATCACCTAAATGATATTGGCGTGCTGGAACTTGCCTGTGCGCATCACAGGGTCCATGGGCTACGGCCTTAACTCCCCAGCCTGCCGGTTTGCTCTCGCCTGACAGTTCTACCAAACCTTTGTCCGTTCGCTGAGCCATTGTTGCCAGTGCCGGCGCTCTTGCCTTTCCAGAAACCAAAAGCCAGGCAACTCAACCGACGTAATCACAATCCTTCGTCCTGTATCTATCAGGGAACTCTTTACCAGAAAAAGCAAACATTTATGAAATTACGTGGTTGAACGTGCGCTTCGTTCTAATCAAGACCCTGTTACATTGCAAAACGGGAACCGGCGGGAATACGTTACACGACAAACTAGCTTGAACCAAACCTGGAACTATCACCAGATATCTGACACAGTTTCTTTCACTACTTCCACAGCAGCTCACCAGATCAACACACCGCTCAATTGAGGTCTAGGTGGTTGTTCGTCACGGTTCACTTACCAAAACTATGACTCGCGGAAGCATCACCTGCGACACTAGTGTCCCAAAAACACCGACGACGGAGCCAGCACCGTCCACGCTGACCTCGGCCGATTTCAAGACCCCTAAACCACCTCTTACCTCGCAGACAGCTAAATCTCCACGCAGCCCATCAAGCAAATTCTCGTTTCAGGAGCAGCGGCGAAAATCGTTCTTGGAACATCTGAAACGATGGCACTTGAGCCACGAATCGAGTAATTTCTTTCAAGGAAAACTCAGCCTACTACCTTCTGAGCCTGAATACAACGAAAGTCTCGAATTGGGTAGAAGTGTAACTTGTATTTTGACGGATTCGAGTTTTACGGACTATAGGAAGACAGTTGCTATTAAGCTTTTTGGACCACAGAGGGACAGCTTAAACGGCAAGATAAGAGAATTGGGACGGGATATCAAGAGCAGGAGCATGGCTTTACTTTGCAGCGAGATGAAGCTCGCGGAGGACAAGAAAGAGGAGGCATGGCCGTCACCAGAAGCCATATCCGGCTCTTCGAACAGCTACTACAACCTTGTCATCCGCTTCGGCTCAGGATGGCTCTCTGCACGCGACTACTTCAACAGACTCTACTTTCGACACCTCGCTGCCCGCTTGCCAGGCCGGAGTAGCCACTGCGTCGCCAACACAGCCGACTACGTCTTCCGCGTCCGCTCGCAAGCACTCGGCCCACCACCCTCAAAACGAGACACAGTGCCCATCCAGCCACTCTTCCACCAATTCCAACGCCTACCTACAGAACTCCAAGAGATGATCCTCATGACTGCCGCCGGACTTACCCGCGACTACGACCTCACCAACGACGCGCGCAGGAACTGTGCCAGAGCCTCCGAAAGAGCCATCAGTTTATCAACCTTACTACGCATCTCACGCGGCATCCACGACACAATGCGCCCATACATAATGCGCAGCACGACCTTCCATTTCGGCCTCAGCGGAACGACAAACTTCCTCTGGCAATGCGGCCCGACTTATCGTCCCCACATTAAACGCTTGGCCTTCCATTTCGGGAAGAATGCTTTGCTTCATTGCGTGCGCTGGTTAGCTTCTGATGCGATTTTCGAGTTCCTAGAGCCGCCGCAGCCGAATGGAGGGACTGGGTTACCGCTGTTTTGGCGCTGTCAGTTGAGAGCTCTTGCCAAGGAATTGCACTTGCGGGAGCTTGTTATTGATATTGAGGGGATTCCGAAGGCGGATGTTGCTATGGTGGTTAGGGTTATGAGGGAGGCGTTTGGGGGTGTGGAGAGGGTGAAGTTTGTGGAGGGTTCGCCGCCTGGGAAGACAGAGTTTGTGGATATGAGGGATGAACGGTTAGCGGGCATCGGCAAGGAGACTTGGAGGGAGCTGGTCAAGGGGTATATTGGGAGGTATGAGCGCCAGATTGGGTGGCATAATTGGCATTTTAAGATGGATTTGGTGGGCTTGAAGGAGCATGAGCTGGATGCTTTGATGGACAAGGAGGCGGAATTTTTTGATAGTTGATAGAGGGTGAATGCATGATGACGGTGTTATCTGTATATTTTAGGGTTTGGGGGAATACGGAATAGACATCTGGCGAGTTCATGATAAGGTGAACCAACGGTAAAGATATGGCTTTGTGATCTATTGATGGTACTTGCATGTACGAGACATAATGTCGATGTCGAGCGAGTGAAAACTCCATGAAGTTGAAAATTGCATACCCAGATACTAAGGTCAATCTAGTCTACGTTGCTTCCACCATAACTTTTCTTTCAAAAAAAGTATTGCTTAGTGCGTTATTCCAAAGAAATGGCGTCCCGTACAGTATTGCTTTGTTCCGGCAGTTGACAGCCAAAGTACTTGCGCCTGGGTACGCAAACTGTGACATTGGCGATAGAAGCTTTCAAGGTTCTTCGTGGAAACCATAGTGGGTACGATACGCGTAACAATTTAAGGTTTCGTCGACACCCAGGCTGTGCCCAATATTGCCCGCTGCCAGCCTCATTCCCGATCCTCCGATGCTTCTCGAGTTCGTGAGGCGGCGGGTGGCCACTGCGAGCGGCTAGCGCAACGGGTCCCTGCACGGAAGCAGCGGCAGGCGGAAGGGGAACAACTCTAAATTTCTAGTTCCCGGAATCCTCTTCTTTTGTCTCGACATCGAGAATTTCCGAGAGCATTCGTCCGCATGATGGACTTTTGGCATCCTTGTTCACACTCATGAGGAGTGGCTGCCTTTTCTTTGGCTACTCAGACGATCATACGCAAGACGACCTCGAGACTCAACCTTGGAAACTGCGACCCGGCAGCACATGCTACGATACAGCCACATATCTTCTGCGCGACAGTTAACGTCGTTGTTGCTATCGCAGAGTCATGCAAGTCGTGCAAGAAGGAGTCATGGACGGCAAAACATGACCTCGTCACTTGCGAGGGTTGTGGGATAGATTGTAAAAGTCAAATGTCACTAGTAATGAGCGTAATTGAGTGTAAACTCCGCAAATGTACGTAAACCTCCTCTCCCAAGGTTGCCCAAGAGGCCGTCATCTAAAATCCCCACTTGGCAATCTTCTTGTACGACTTGTGCTTGACGCTGGTAGTGCGCTTCGCGACGCTCATGCGCTTCACGACAGCGCTCTCGTCTTCGTCCACATCTACACACCCATCAACATCCTGCGAGGAGCAGAGCGGCGTGAGAGTCTTAGAGCCCATATCGCAGAAGTTTCCATGTGCGTCAACAAAGTCCGGTCCCCAAGACGTGGCAGATTCACAAAGTCCCTTCGCTGAGTGGCTTGCAATGTTGGACACGACAAGTGCCTCGGTCATCCACTGGGGGCGCTCAGAGACACTACGCTTGGCGCCAGGTTGGTCTGAACACGAATGTTAGAGAAAGTCCTTGCGCGGTAGGTATAAGGGGATGACTGACCAGCGATAGGGCCACTGTCTGGTCCAAAGATCGTGTATGTACATCCTGCGTTGCTGCTCGCGGTGTCGTTGACGTTTTCACCGTACGCGGAGGTATCGAACTTCAGAGAAGCAGCCGCAATATCGTTGGTATGGTCTAGATACGAAGTCAGTGTATGTATCACATGTGTGCCACGGCCGTCATTTACCTGCATCAATCCAAGTGCACCTGGGGACGTAGTCGCCGCCGTCGTCTAGGCGTCCCGCTACCTCGACGCTCTCGTACCAGGATTGGCCACAGACTGATCCAATATCGCCAGTCCATGCACCACCGAAAGTGCCGTCGAACTGCGTCACGGTGATCCAGGCAATACATGTCGCGTCATCGTTGTTCGAGATGCTGACGTATTTGGCTCGTTGGCCCCCAACCCCCGCGTCAATGGTGCGGTCGCAAATTCCACCAGAACCGATATCACAGCCATCAGCTTGACCCTGATATCCGTTTACCTGGGAGAAGGAATAGACCTTGTTGATCGAGCCAGACTAACCTCTTGTTAGCAGCGGACTCTATGTTGTCCATACTTGGACGTAGCACTCACAAGACTGTCTCCGTCGTTACCAAGGTCGGGTAGACCGGCTGCAGGAGTGAAGAGTGTGTCAGCAACTACCATGAAGATATTAGTTCTCTTGTGATGCTGTACCTTTGATTCTGACAGTTGCACCCTCTGGTGCTGATCCTGGGACGTTGGCTTCGAAAAACCCAACCGTAGTCAATGCGTCAGCCACGAGCCCAATGGCTGTGAGAACCGAGGCAGCCATGTTGAAACTTGCGCGAAAGCTGATTATATGATAGTTGTTCAAAGCCGTTTAACTGAGAGGGAGAAGTCCGGTTTGGGTGATGAGTGCTTGGTTCACAGAAGGACTTTTTATATCTCTTCGGCTTGAGCAGTGCTTGTTGCTATCCATGACACTATGGAGCCATGGTGACATTTCTCCGGAACTTCGGCATGCCATCGTAACATGTCTCAAATCGAATAGCAAATCAGAACTTCGTTGACAACATGTGCTCGGCCCCCAACTGTTGCCAATACTTTATCCATGCGAAGTGGAGGTTCGGCTTGTTCACTTTGTCAGCCTGTACGAACATTAGGTATGCTGCCTATGATATGGCCGACCTTTGATTTGCCGTAGCCTCCTGGGTATCTCATCCTTCTAAGACACTGATGAACGCAAATATCAAGACCTTCCCGAATGGTAATGTTGAGTGATGTCGTCTTACCGGTTAGAACAGTAGTCTGCCTGGGAGCTGAAGGATCGCTAGAAAACCGGGGACTAACGACGAAAGTAGGAAAAAGCGACACAGATACGCCTTGTCATCCCCCCGGAAGCGCCGGTGGAAAGCAACTAATCTGTGATGGAGGTCGAATTGCCAAGTCCGCGGGACAGTTATAAGCCACCTTGCCCACCGACTCAATGCTCAGCAACACCTTTCTCTATCAGCTCCACTTCTTCTTTCGAGACAAGATCGACCACTCGACCCCAACAAGCCACCATGAAGCTCTCACTTGCCCTGATCAGTACTCTGCTTACGAGCTCCCTCGCACTTTCGGTCAAACGACAAAACGATGTACCCTCCTGCGTCAACGGCGATGTTGCCGACAGCAACGGCGGTCCATACGAGGGTGGTATGTAATAGCAACTGCCGGCTTCGGTCCCTTAGGTAAAACAAGCTGACACCCTATGTTTAGGCGCTGAATGTGAACAAGACTGCTACTTGACTGAACAGGAAGGGGACAGAGTCGATCAGATTTGCAAAGGGTACTGCACTGGAACACCGCTCGTGACAGGAACTGTTGTGTACAACTGCTATGGAAGTGGCTGAAGCGTGTACGGAAAGCCTTCTGGGGCGGACTTGTTGGAAACCCATTGTGTCAGAGCATTACATAGATACTTTTACACACCAACCTTCAATGGATGACTTCAACTTAAGCACCGCATAAATGCTTGTCTTCCGGGCGTACATGCTTATCCCTCGTGCGTGTACCTAGCATAACTATGTGTCAAGACATCATCTTCTCGCCAATCTCTATATGAGATTCGTTCTTTACTATGAGTTCGTAAGGCTCGACCGGCAATACGGCTTACGCCCGAAACTCATCGACGAATGACAAGGCGCATGGTTGAAGCGAGATCCCCACACAAAACGCCCTGAAGAAGATCACCCCGGAATACACCGCGGACGTTGGATCAAAGTCTTGTTGCTTATGGTGGTTAAGGTTAGCTGCCGCCGTGACTAATCGAAGCAGGCACGTGGTGGTTGTGGGGGCTACATAAGGCGCCCCGAGGCACCCCGTCTGGGGTCTTGGTAAACACCAATCCCAAAATCAGACAATGATCGGGACGACCGTGCCACCCAACCCCGCCTCAACGTCGCAACGCTAAGGAAGAATATGTGCGTTGTTATGACCCAGCGATGTCATTTGGGGCGTACATGAGTCGGGTTTTAAGAGAGGACGAATGACGACAGTGCTAAGAGCAGCTGCAACCGACGAATCTACGCGACCAGCGACAGCTTCAGACACTGGAAGCGACAAGGAAACGTTCCGTTCCAACCGATTAGCCGGTGAGATGGTCTGAGCCCTTACATGCAATAAGCCGCAGTGTGACACATGACGAAATGTCCCATGAGTATGCCTTACTCTTGGCAAGAAGCGGATGGCCTTATTATGCAGCGATGTCTGGAGATGGAGTACAAACACCCTAGCCGCCCCCCACGCTCGCATCTACTGAGATCGGACTCGTTCAGAACCGCATCCAGACTTGATAATTCTTGCTGTTTTCGAGACTCTCCCTAAACCTTTTGCTTCAGCATTTCCAATGCAGCTCTTCCAAGTCATCAACAGATCGGCGTTTCTAGCCTTGCTTTCTTCTCCCTTCTACGCACATGCACAAGCATCCCAGAACGCAGATGGGCAAGAGCTAAGCCCATATAAGTTTGTGCCCTCCCCATGTATCGTCACAAGTCAACTAACCGTTCGATAGTCAGAACCTGACGCTTCGCTTCTTCAAGGATGGCCACGACGACACGTGTAACTACTACGACTCCCGCGACACCTTGACCTTCACTACGAGTAGTATTCCCGTCGTCCCCCACTGTTTCAGTCTTGGAGACCTCTTTGGTGGAAACGCCACGCAGGGCTTTGTGAACCAGACATGGAACCTCGGTTCTAACAGGTTTGGTGACGAACAAGCGGGTATATACTGGACGCTTCTCAACGCCGACAAGTACGACAGATCAGCAAACTACTCTCGGGTCCTATACCGCCACCATGTAGTGCAGGCTTATGACGACATATGGAAGGAGGGCCATCTCTCAAATATGATGGCTACCGTCTACGGAGGGGAGGACTGCTCTGAACTCGATCCTAACGATGACCAAAACTTGCTGAACTGGTTTGGGTACAGCTGTTGGAGTGCTGATGAGGGTGATTGTGGCAATACACCTTACCCCCTCAATAGTTTCAATCTTGCCTCAGTCGACCAGAGGTCAGACCGCAAGTGCTGGTTGCATTCGGAATTGGGCGCGGCTGTGCATGGATTCTCGTCTTCTCGGGCGATAA